TTAGAAATTTAAAAAAAAATATCACCTGAAGAAAACCGGAGCGTACAACGGTCGAAATGTTGTGAATGTGACAATAAAAATTACGACAACAGTCAGCATAAATATATAAAATTTCATGTCTTGACTGAATCGGAACTATATTAGTTAGAGTCATATCTCTAGAAAGTGGTATCCATGACAAGTCACTAAAAATGCGTCCTTACCTCCGATACGCTTCCAAAGTGCAAGGTGGACATAATTGTTCAAAAATACAAGTCAATACCATTAATATATATAATTATGGTATAATTATATATATATATATATATATATATATATATATATATATATAATTGCACTCGTACTAAGAATGTATAAGTTGAAGCAAGAAACTGAGGAAGTTGCCAGTTAGGCCTAAAACTGAACCTTCCTTGCTTTGACTAAAGGAAAATTTGTCAATCAGAATCGCTAAGCCTCGAGGTCAACAACCAAGAACTGTCACTGGTAAAATTCATACAATCTGTTGGTGTCTAATGTTTAGTGCTTAATGCCTAACTAATGAATATTACATTTGTTCAGTGATATTGTACAATCTTCATACTATGTGGCCTACTTGCCATACGCCACTGATATGTCAAAGTATTACGATAGAGAGATTTACCACTAAATTTGTCAGCAAATATTGCTTTTCCAAATTTGTCTTAACTTCAGTTTATCACCTGGTAAAGGTGCATCTTGTGGATGTGTAAAAGAACAAATCATTTTCTTGATGAACAAAAGGTTTCAAACTATCTCTTTTTACACACACTATATATATATATATTAATAATAAAATTATCGGTAATTTCGAAGAGGATATAGATCAGTTGAGAACTATATTAAAAGACAGAGCAAAAATTATTATATAATGACAAACACTTAAAAAAACCATAGGTGATATTTTATTGAACGATAAAAAAAAAAAAGGCTTCGAATCTCCAGACCTGTAAACCAAATGAAAATTAAAACATTTACTCAAGGTTTAAAAATTAAGAATAGTGATTTCATATTGTGATAGTGGGGGGAAAAAAGATGTTATGTTATCATCATGTAGAAAGTGGGGGAAAGGAAAATGTGTGTCGTCTCAGTTATATTAATACCCGTGGTGACCTAATTAAACATCCGGGTTGTAGACATAAATCGTTACATGAAGTAGCAATTGAGAATACATTTGAAAAAGATTTTAAACGTAAAATTGAAATTCTTTTTCTTAGAAGTAATTTACGTTTAAATTGAAATCTTTACCTAGGTTCTGAATATTTTTGAATGTTCTTAAACAACCACTATTAATAATATTTCTCGAATGCGCAGACCGATAGTCTTAATACGCACTATTTAAAATAAAAATGGAGCGTCTATTTCAAATACAAGTATCTACTAATAGTTATTAATTTGAAGTAATAAAAATGTAGGTTTAAAAATAAATCTATTAATTATCTCTCTCTCTCTCTCTATATATATATATTATATAATGATAAACACTTAAAAACAATAGGTGATATATTCTTCTTCGGTTAAGACTGACACATATGTATTCAATTCAAAAAACCTGTTATAATTTATATGAAAAAGTCAAGTAGAAAAATGACATGTAGAAAATAAAACAAATCCTTTTACTTTTAAACTTCTTACCATTTATTGGATGGGGATTGTTATACCCTAGCATAATTAAGAAACAATTGATAAAGAAAATGACAAAATATTATTTAATGGATAAGATACTTTTTCGCGTACAAGTGACAGTTGACGCCCCAGAAATCAACCAAAACTAATATGGAATAAAGATGTTGATTGGTAACATAAACTAATTATTATTCCACGTCAACTCTAAATTCATAACAGCTTCAAGAACTCCGTTTTTCCTGACAGAAATCTACCACGTAAAAAGTGGAAATGAAGCTAGAAAGTTGGAGCGAAAAGAAACCATGTAGAAACGAAGTTAATCATACTTGGAACGAAAATAAACCCTTAACATGTAACTACAAAAGGACTTCATACTATTTCAAGTACTTCATTGTTGTCGGATCGCCTTAAAAAACAAAACTCTTGTACACGACATTGCACGGTGAGAAATATGTTTGCATACAATAAGTTAAAAAAAAAGTAAGGAAGACTACTATTCCTCGAGAAGAAAGAAATAAGCACATATTTTTAATGAAGACTATGATTATAATAAACAAATTAAACATTTTGTTTAAATCGACTATATAATTATTTTAAAAAGCTGGGAACCCACCTAAATAACTGGAAACTTGAAGTAAAAAACCCCTATGCAATTTTGCATTAGCGGAAAAGGGTGTGGCTTTTGCAACGGATACAAATACAGACAAGTTTAACCCGTCAGTCAATTGAGTAGTTAATAGGAAAATGCAACGGAAGAAATCCTCACCAGAAAAAAAGACGCCCCTTTGAAGCTCAACCTTTAATAATCCGCCAAATTGAAAGAATTTTTTTCGAATATGTCAAATATTCGAAAAAAAAAAAAAAAAAAAAGAAAAAAAAAGTCCTTTCAACCTGGCGGTACTTTTTAAAAATCTTCTTTGACTTCCCCTTTAACTCACCTTTCCAATTTTACATTCGTTTTTGCTTCAAGTCTTTCAGTTAAAAAGACTTAAGAACTTTGTTTCTGTCTGAAAGAATTTTTACCGCACAAAGGAATATTTATCGTCGCCCCATTCGCTACTCCGTTTACGTGATCAAGGGCAGACGTTATATATCTTCATGACCTTGACTCTTCTTCATTTCGTTGCCCCACTCCCTTCACCTTAATATAGCAAGTTCATTTAGATTTATAATAAAATTAATGACTTTTTGTTGTTTCAGTATTACGAATTTAGTCTGAATACGCATTGTGAGCATTTTTATACTTCCTAGCAACTCTGAATTTATTTTCTTCTCGCCGAACAAGGAGGATGCGAAATGCAGGCACCCTGGTCTTTGTGACCATGGGGCTTGGACGGGTTATGTATTGAGTTACGTGCCCGTTTATTTTTGTTCTGCCAACTGGACGCTAGTTGGGCTTTCCTAACTATTTTTACTTCCGGCACTCTTGCCCTTTATTACTTCCAGCTATCACGAACCCTTATCTTCTGGCATACTCGGTCTTCATTATTTCCGGCTCTTACTTCAACCTAACTCACCTGGTTGATCTGCGCTAATGGGCCTGTTTACAATAGCACTGAACTTCCGGTTACGCATAGGTCCCTGCTTCCGCTTTTCCTGTCAACGTAACAGGGACAGCTCATATATGAACTGTTCGATAGAGTGTAGCGTTTTATGCTGCGGTGTGGACAGTTTCGAAGTTTAGAGATTACTTAGTGAGGGACCCTCGTTTGACTTGGAAAGAGTTGGAGTATGCTGACGAGGACACGGCGATTGAAGGCATGAGAAGCCCCATGAAATTAGTACAACTGAGGGACGAAACCCCCGGGGAGCTAGAAGTTAGGGCGGAGAAACTGGCCACTGGCTTTTCCGGAAGAAGTGAGGAACAATGCCATCATGAAGGCCCAGCTGGCCGATTTGTACGTAGAGGTGCTCCAGAATTAACGCATATGGCATGATATCATAAAGGAAGCAACGATCAAGCTGTCGGCGGCGGTGGCGCTGACCAGGGGTAGCCAGTGTGTATAAGAGAAAGTAAAAGGGAAGAAGGCACAAGAGTGGAGTCGGAAGTTTAAACTGGAGGAATGGGAAGAGGTTCCCAATAGAAGGGCGCGGATGTTGAGACACGGGTCTTACAAACCCACACCAGGCCGATTGAGGCTGACAAGTCGATCCTGTCGTCATGAAGACCATAGGGCAGTGGATTACCCCCGGATTACGACAATCCGAGATGCACTAGGTGCGGTCATCGTGGAAATAAAGCGAGATAGTGTGGGATAAAGAAAGGACCACTGGATTCCTCTGTTACAAGAACCCATCCCTGGAAAATAGAACACGGAGAACATCAAAGAGCCGATGTAAGGGGGGAGGGTGACCCAGTTAAAGTGAAGAGTAATGCGATGCTGGGTATATAACCGGGTCGGCCATTTTGCTACCAACTGCCCTAAGAGGAGATGCTGCTTCAGTAACGAACCAGGGCACCTGAAAAGAAATTGCTCCTACAGGAGAGAGGCGCAATGTTAGGCATGTGGCCAGATCGGCTATTTTTGCCGCCAACTGCCCCTATAGAAATAGGAAGGGCGAACTCAGGAGATCTGCCTGCGTGTACCACGGCGTAGAAGAAGACAGCCGCGGACAACATGCTACAGCAACGATGAAGTTATTGTTGTTGGAACCCATGTCTGAATGTGCAGAGGAACATCACCTCAGAGGGAGGGTAGCCAGGGAGTCTTCATTGCTGACCCAAAAGGATGAATTTACCTGCGATGCAGTGGTAGATGGAAAGTCAATGAGGGCCTTGATAGACATGGGGGCATCGGTGTCCTTAATAGGAGAGATCAGTACATAAACCTGAAGCTGCGGTGTGGGTTAAGAAGACCCGATATAGAAATTGATCAGGTGGACGGGATGCCAATGAAAATATCAGGAAAGATGAGGCTCCTGGTGACGGAAGGAGGCACAACCAGTGTCCACAAATTCTATGTGGTCCCGGATTTTTGTGGGGAGATTACCTTAGTTGCGCTAGCAGAGGGCACAAGTGAAGTTCAACCCCACAGTATTGACTACCAATGGTGTGGATGTGCCATTAGGAAGCACCTCAGATAGGCCAGTGTCAGTGGCAGTTGACGATGACCAAGTTACCACCAAAGACGCCAGTATCAGGTAGGGGTAGGGTTGTGATAAAAGAAGGAGTAGGAGAAAGAGCTTTTCAACTGACCCCGGTAAAAGAATATAGCCTCGAAGAAGGCGAAGTAACCTTGTGCGAGTTCGTGGTGGACGCGGCAGAAGTAATACATATTATATTGGCTAATCAGGCCAACGGGACAATTGAGGCAAAGAAGGGGGAAGAAGTAGAAAGGCTCTACCATTAATGTCCCTACAACGGTGAAGTACAGTGAAGAAAGAAGTTGAAATACTTCTATCCCAACTCCAAAAGCAATTGAAAGAAATAAAACACGAGAGACAAAATAAGCAGCAGTGAGGGGAGAGAGAAATAACAAATAGCCATGTGAAGAAATCCCTTATAGTGAAAGGGGAAAGGAGAAGTGGACTATTACAGAATGAGATTATTGCCTGCTGATATAACGAAAGAAAGAATCATGTTAGATACGGAGAAAATTTATAGTCAAGAATCCTTGTTATTAAGAGGAACGATTGAAATGTTTCTTTTGGGGGAAACTTAAATTAAAATCATATTTTAGAAGCCGCCTGTTGAAGTAAAAAAAAAAAAAAAGAGAAAAGAAAAAGAGAATGGATAGAAATAAACTGAAAAAGAGAGAAAAGTAGAAAGGTAAATAATTTATATGAAATGGGAGGTGAGAAGATATTGAAAAAACAGAAAAAAAGGAGAAAAAAGAAGAGATTGCGAGGGGCGTAGAACTCCGAAAAAGAAAGTATGGTTGTGAACGAGGGGGTAGATGGGTTCGCGGACGGTGCGCAATGACGTCGGGCTCATTCAAAACCCTATCCAGTTATTAACAGTGGGAATTGGTTGGAGGAGATAGGAGTATGGATAGCGCGTCACGGAGGGCGAAGAAAATTACTTGTTAGTGCTGTCGTTGGTCTGCACATGGGCCCGTATATGACCGGCGGCGGTATTGATGAGGTACGACCTCTGGGACGAAAGCGTCACACACCTGTCTAAATCCATTTACTGTTATGGTGTAGAACCATAGAAAGATAACACGGACTCGGATATAAGGTTAAATAATATATTCTCGGAAACGTAGTACAAAAGTAAATGTGGACTGAAGAGTCTGTCTGTCTCTCCTACTCGGTGACCCCCTTTACTCAGAGTTGGTAGCCATATGATATAGGTGTGGAAGAGTCCATTTGTAGGTAGGTTCCCACAATAACCCCCTCCCAAGCCCTTTTACACGGTAAAAGGGTTTATTACTTTCCAGAAATTTAATACCTTTTCTTTTTGCGGTTGATTGTTAAAGGCTCGGTAAATTGCCTCTTTCTCCCCGACCTTCGTTGTTCAGGCGTATGTTGCGGGTGCTCGACGTCATATGTGCCGTAAATGAACTCGATGTGATCTTCCACTTCATCCTGTGTGCTGTTAGAATCTATTTCATGCCGTTTATTAATTTGATTAATATGTCTTTTGTGGGTATGTCTTGGTACTTGTATTATATACACCATCTCGCCGATCCTTCTAGTGATCGTGCCCTTCTCCCAGTACGGCATATTCCTCTGAAAACTTTAAAAGATTTTCTGACCTGGAAGAAATCGTTTTTTTTTTGTCCTTTTTCGGTCTTACATATTTTTGACTGTTTGGAAATTAATTTGTCAAAAACGGATCTCACCTTTCTGGCAAACATGATTTCTGCCGGTGATGGTATATTCGGGTTCGGCGTAATGCGATAAACTTGCAGAAACTGCTGTAATGCTATGTCGGTAGGAGTTCCTTGAGCTTTTTTAAATGCTCTTTTTAGCGTGTCTACGAACCTCTCTGTCCATTTGATCTAGGGTGGTATTGGGGCATAGTTATGTGCTTGACTTGGAAGATGTCGCAAAAATTCTTAAATTCTGCTGACGTAAACTGTGTACCATTGTCGCTGACAACGCAGTCCACTACTCCAAATCTCGCAAACAGCTCATGTAGGAAACTGATTGTTACAACTGTTGTCGGCCTCTTGCATCTTAAAACCTCCGGCCACTTGGAGTAACTGTCAACAACGATTAAGTAATAATAATCGTCAATCGGCCCAGCAAGTCAATATGTATACGTGACCAAGGCTGGTCCGCTTTTGGCCAGGGTTTGAAAGTGGTAGGTGGAGCTTTGGCCGACAAGGCGCATCCTCTGCATGTGTTAATCATTTCCATTATGTCCTTGTCCATCGCCGGCCAGTAGACATAACTCCGCATGAGACTCTTCATACGGTTTCTACCGGGATATCCACCGTGGAAGTCTTTTAAAATTCACTTCTGTAACTTTTTCGGAATTACAACTCTTTCGCTGTACATTATCACATAGTGAGTAGACGTCTGACACGCTATTATCTTTTGTTGCGATTTTACGTTTTATTTCGCAAATAAAATCATCTTCTAGCGCTTCGTTTTTGATTTCCGACAACGTTACAGGTAGATCCCGGACGATATTCGCTATTGATTATATTTCACAGTCTGAACGAAGAGCTGCTATAACCGAGTCTTTAAGTGGTTGATTTTGATTAGCGATTAGTCTGGATAGACCAACTGCATGGCCAATTTTATTAGTTGGTAAATAATTTAATTTAAAATTATAGTTGAGAAGGATGGTACCCCATCTCAAAAGTCTATTCGCCGTATAAACCGGTAAACCCTTTTTAGAGCCAAATATCGTTAATAATGGTTTATGATCGGTCTGTAGATTGAAATACCTTCCATGCAGATATCTGAAATTTTGTTACCGTGAAAATGATACTGAGGGTTTCTTTTTCAATTTGGCTGTACGCTTTTTCTGCGGGTAGTAAAGTTCTTGATACGTGTGCTATGGGTTTCAGTGTACCGTCTGGCATACTATGTAGGATACACGCACCGATACCGTACGAACTAGCATCGCAGGCCACATTGATATCTAATTGAGGGTTGAAATGAGTCAGAGATAGTTCTGATGTTCATATTTTTTTATTTTTCCAAAAGCTGACTTACACTCCGTAGTCCATTTCCAATTTTTTTCTTTTTTTCTAACAATGTATTCAGAGGAGCGCGTAGCGTGTGCATATTTTTTTTTTATGAATACTTGGTAATAGTTGGCAAGTCCCAACAAACTTTGGAGCTCGTTGACATTTTTTGGAGCAGGCATATTTTTGATAGTTTCTGCCCGCCGTGGGTCAAGCCGTCTTCCTTTCTTCTCAATGATATGCCCGAGATACCTTATTTCATTCATATAAAAAATCACATTTCGATTCTTTTACCTTGAGACCGAAATCCTGAATTCTCTCAAAACCTTGTGGATATGTTTGCGATGTTCCTCGATAGATTTGCTTGCTATTGCAATGTCATCCAGGTAGGCACACGCGAAGTCAAGGCCGCCAGCATGGTATCCATGACCTGCTGAAATACTGCAGGTGCAACCTTGACACCGAAAGCCAATCTATCAAACTTGTATAAACCCCTGTGGGTGTTGATACATAGAAGTTTTGCACACTCCTCCTCAACAGGGATTTGAAGGTATGCATCGCTTAAGTCCAATTTGGAGAATATTTCCCCACCATTCAGTTTATTAAATACCTCCTCCGATGTGAGGAAAGGGTAATGGTAATCTTTTAGAGCCGCATTGAGAAATCCGCACAGACGCGAATTTGGTTGGACTTTTTGCTTACGTATACAGCGGAGGCAGCCCAATCGCTAAAACTCACTTTGGACAGTATGCCGGCATTTTCTAGTCGGTCTAATTCTTAGTTAATTTTTTTCTACTGATGCAAATGGGACATTTCTTTTACTTTTGAATATGGGTTGAACGTTTTCTTTCAGCTCGAATCTGGCTTTTGTCCTATTTTCATTTTTCTAGCCCCGCCGAGAAAACTTCGGGAAATTCTTTTAATTCGTCTTTCAGGTCTTGGGCATCCGTTGTCATATTTTCCACCTTTTGGCAAAAATTGTTGATTGGTTGATCCCACAACTTAAACTGCTCCATCCAATCCGTTCCAAATAAATTCTCAGAGTTTTTATGGACGAAAACTTTTAGTTTCTTTGTGATGCCATTTAGTGTTACATGTAGTGTTAGCTCACCTTTAAATTTGATTTTGTCACCTGTTACTGCAAGGGCTGTTTTGTTTGCCTTTTTCATCGCTGTTTTTTTTTAAATTTCCTCCAAGTATGAAGATTAATGATTGAGAGATCCAAGCCAGAATCTAGTTGCAGCTTAACTGTTTTGTTTAGATTGTTAACTACAACGTATTTTCGTAGGTTCTTATCTACTTTTTCATTTGATATAGTTTGTCTGACTGTTTCTGTTGTTCCTTTTGTTTCTACAGTGCGCCCCCTTGCGGCCAATTTTTCCACAATTATTACATGTCTTGTTTCAGTAAAAACAGTCTGCCGCCTAATGTTGTCCACCACAACGTCCGCATGGCCTTGGGGGTAATTTGTTTCTCACAGGGTCGTCTACTTTTAGATTGTGAATAGGCATACTCTTTGCATTCTTTACCTTTTCCAGAGTAGTAATTTTTTGGCTTGTACTTAATTCTCCTAACATACGATATGCCTGATTCATCGATGTTTTTGGAATCGCTTTTAACACTGATAACTCGCTGGCAATCTTCAGCTAGTTTTTTTTAATGCTTTCTAGTCTTGATAGAACTCACCGTCTAATCTCAGAGTTTTTTTTTTTTGCGGAGACTAAACCTTGTACAAATATCAAACACTTGAAATCGTTAGCTGACAATTCAGCCAAACGAAAATCGTCACAGTGCTTATTTACAATGGACGCAAATGTAAGATAACCCTCTTCATCCCGTTTTGACAAGTTAAAACACTTCCATCTTTTGTGAAAAGTGAATTAGGCCTGAATAACTCAGACAAAAGTTTTACTGCTTCATCGAACTCCAATTCGCTTGTTTTCTTCGGAAGAATGTAATCGAGAAACTTACTATGTTCCGCTGTTCACAACCTTCTCAAAAGTAGGCGAACTTTTTCAGCGTTCGGCCAATCCTCACAGTCACCCGCAAAAAGATCTTCATATCTTCTGTAGAAAGCTTCAAATGTTTTATCTTCTTCAGGAAGATAATTGAATGTCTCCATAGAATATCAAATTGTGTTGTAAGAAAATGCAGTGTTGTTTTCTCTAACATCCTTCTTAATGTTTTTAGAAGGAATTCTTGTTGTTGTTTTGGAATTCAAAAAAAAAACAAACAAACTGTTGTTGTTCTCTCTGCTTTTCTACCTGTTTCTGTTGTAGGAGCAATTTTTCTTCTAACACTTGTTGCCGTTCCTCAGTCTTCTGTTGATGATCAAGTTGTACCTTTTCCTAATCTGAACAATGGCTGCTTTAAAGTCCTCCATAATGACTTTAAATACGTGTTCTCAGAGAAAAAAAAAAACGGAATTTAAAATTTTTTCTTCTATAAGAGGGGGAAAGAAAATAATTTTTTCCTTAATATTTCTCAGCTCTGGTTGGTAAAAAAAAATCTTTTTTTCTAATATAGTCTAAGTCCTTCTATTTTTCTCTAAGAGGAGAAAAAACTGCATAAACAACAACGCTGCCAACAGAAAATGTATCTTTTCCCTTTTTTTCATGTGTGGTCACGAGAAGCAAAGAACAATGCAATGCTTTCGATTATAGCAACGAGGAAGAGAGAAAAAAATCTTGCAATTTTGCACTACTAAGTATTTTCAAGTTGTTGGTTTTAAATGGAGTTAATATCTCTTTTATACTTTTCCTTCTTCCTAAATATATCCGACGCCCGCATCTGTATATTTTTCCGTATTTACGTTGCCTGTTATTCGGTTGATGTCCGTTATTTTTTT